GAGGCTGAGGCAGGTGAATTGCTTGAGGTCCAGAGTTTGAGACCAGCCTGGCCAACATGGTGAAACCCTGTCTCCACTAAAAATACAAAAATTAGCTGGGCATGGTGGTGTGCACCTGTAATCCCAGCTACTTGGGAGGCTGAGGCAGAAGTATCGCTTGAACCTGGGAGGTGGAGGTTGCAGTGAGCTGAAATTGTACCACTGCACTCCAGCCCGAATGACAGTGCGAGACTCCATCTTAAAGAAAAAAAAAAAATGCATAAACTTTGTGGTCAGGCAAACCTTGGCCACTCATGTGCATCAATGACGTTTTCAAGTCACAACCTCCCTACAGGCAGGACTCTGATTAACTCCATTGCACAGGTGAGGAAAACAAAGCTGAGGCCAGGTCTAAGGCCGCACTGCTAGTAATGACTGAACCAGGGCTCCAACCCAGGTTTAACTCTAGAGCTCCTAACTACCCCAAGACACGTGGTCCTTGGTGGGGAAAATTCCAGATGTGATAAGGACTGGCACGGGTCGCACCTCCCAGACTGGAAGCCACTCGCACCCTTTCCTACCACTCCTGGGCTGCAGTGGCGCTGACTGCCCGCAGCACTGCAACAAGCTGTGCCCTGGCCTGGCCTGGATCTAGGGAGGCTGGTGGAGGCCGCCCTACAAGAGGGAGTCATTCCTGGAAGGCAGAGAGAGGCTGTCTGGGACTAGAACTGCCAGAAGAAGGAGCTAAATGACCACCCCTGGCCTCCTCCACCAGTTGATGCCATGGGGTTCATAGAAACAGAGAGGTCTCTAGAGAAAGGCCAAACAGACAGATCCTGGCTGGGCTCAATGGCTTATGCCTATAATCCCAGCATTTTCAGGGGGAAGATTGCTTGAGCTCAGAGTTCGAGACCAGCCTGGGCAATGTAATGAGACCCTTTTTTTTCCTCTGCAAACAATTTTTAAAAATTAACTTGGCATGGTGCTGTGTGTCTGTGGGCCTGGCTATTTGGGAGGCTGAGGCAGGAGGATTGCTTACGCCCAAGAAGTTGAGGCTGTAGTGAGCTATGATTGTACCATTGCACTCCAGACCCTGTCTCAAATAATAATAATAATAATAATAATAATAACAATAATAAAATTAAAAAATTTTAAAAGACATCCCAGGATTTGAGGCTGAAGCAGAGGCCAGGATCACCCCTAGTTCGTTAGGGAGAGCCACAGCTTCAGGTACCTGGAAAGAAATTCTAGGCACGGCAGGGCAGGGCAGCATTCCTTGAATGGTCCACAGCAGGGTAACAGGGCATATGCGCAGTGAGTGCAGGGGACTCGGCACAGTGTTCTCCTCCACCTGCCTTTCAGGGATGACCTTGTCTCATATTCTAGAGAGAATAGACATCACAGAGCAGCTTCTGAGCCCAGACCTGTCCATCAAAATGCCAACACGGTGCCTTTCATGGAGACTTTTTTTTTCTAAGGCAGTCTTTCTCTGTCATCCAGGCTGGAGTGTAGTGGCGTGATCTCTGCTCACTGGAACCTCCGCCTCCTGGGTTCAAGTGATTCTCCTGCCTCAGCCTCCTGAGTAGCTGGGATTACAGGTGTGTGTCACCACACCCAGCTAATTTTTGTGTTTTTTGTAGAGATGGGGTTTCACCATGTTGCCCAGGCTGGTCTCGAACTGCTGACCTCAGGTGATCCACCTGCCTCGGCCTCCCAAAGTGCTAGAATTACAGGTGTGAGCCACTGTGACCAGCTTCTCATGGATACTTAACAGACATCTGAAAGTTCACACGTGTGAGTTAGAGACGAAGCTCTCCAGCCCAAGCACATGCTTCTGCCAGTCATCCCCATCTCACTAAACGGCAGCTGCATCCACTCTGCCACTCCTGCCAGGAAGTTGAGTCATCCATAAGGCATTAATTCATGTGTTCACTTATCAAGTGGTCTGTGAGCGCCTCTATGTGCCAGGCACTACATCTAAGCACCACGAGTGCTTGGTATGCAAATGTCTCATCGAAGAATTCATAGCATCTCTTTCTCACCTCCCAGAATCTATTCACTCCCAATTCCATTCTCTCCTACTTCCAGAACATAACAAATCCATACATTTTCCCTCATATTTAGTGCTATCACCCTTGTCTGAGCCACCGTCACTTCTGTCTAGGTTAGAAGAAGACCCTCCAGTCTTGCCTCCGCAATATCCATTCTTGCTTCCTTTTTATTGTATTGTTTTATTTTGTTTTAATTTACTTAACTTTTAGAGACAGGGTCTTGTTCCGTTGTCCAGGCTGCAGTGCAATGGTGCCATCATAGCTCACTGTGGCCTCAAACTCTCAAACATCTATGCTTAAGGGATCCTCCCACCTTAGTCCCTCAAGTAGTTGGGACCACAGGTGCATGCCACCATGCCTAGCTAATTTTTTTTTTTTTTTTTGAGACAAGATCTCACTCTGTTGCCTGGGCTGAAGGGCAGTGACACAAACACAGCTCCTGTAGCCTCAACCCCATGGGCTCAAGTGATCCCTACACAGTGCTGGGATTACAGGCATGAGCCACCATGCCTGGCCTCCAGCTAACTTTTTATTTTGTCATTTTTTGTACAGACGGGGTCTTGCTATGTTGCCCAGGCTGGTCTCAAACTCCTGGCCTCAAGCAATCCTCCTGGCTGGGCGCGGTGGCTCACGCCTGTAATCCCAGCACTTTGGGAGGCTGAGATGGGTGGATCATGAGGTCAGGAGATCGAGACCATCTTGGCTAACACAGTGAAACCCCGTCTCTACTAAAAATACAAAAAATTGGCCGGGCGTGGTGGCGGGCACCTGTAGTCCCAGCTACTTGGGAGGCTGAGGCAGGAGAATGGCGTGAACCTGGGAGGTGGAGCTTGAAGTGAGCCGAGACTGCGCCACTGCACTCCAGCCTGGGCAACAGAGCGAGACTCAATCTCAAAAAAAAAAAAAAAAGCAATCCTCCTAAATTGGCCTCCCAAAGCGGTGGGATTACAGGCATGAGCCACTGCACCCGGCCTTGCTTCCTTTAATCCGCCCCTTACACGGAAGTCAGAGAAATCTTTAAATATGAGTCAGATCAGATCATGGTCCTGCTCAAAACATCTCCATGCTTCTGAGGTGCTTTGTTGTGCTTCCAACCCCATCGCATTCTAGCATTCATTTTATTCCTAGAACACGACTTCTGGCCTCAGGGTCTTTGCCATTCTGTTCCCTCTGCCTGGGAGGCTCTTCCCTGCACTCTTTGCTGGACAAGCTCCTACCCATCCTTTAGATGTCAGCTTGCTGTGTATCCCCAAAGGAGCCCCCTCTTGGCCTCAATATAAATTGGGTCCCCAAGCTTTTTGCTTTCATGGCAAACACAACTTCTCATCACAGTCTAATCAAGTCTAACATCTGATGTGTGTGATCCTCTCATTACCCCTTGTCTGCACTACACAGCAAGCCCCATAAAGAAGGGTCCATGTCTCTGTCACTCTCATTGTGTCCCCCAAACAGGCATGCAATCAATGTTGGTACAACAAACAAATGTGGGATTTTTAGAGCCTTTGTTATAGACCCTTTGCACGCTGTGACCTCCCAAAAAAGGGATGGTATTTTCCCAAGTCCTACCTGCAGGGTGCCCGATGGGCTAGGACGCTTCTGTCAACCATTGCCCAGAATGACTCAGCAGAACACCATTTGAAAATCACTGATTGGTGGGGCAGTGGTTTGTTTGGTGGAGATGTTTTGATGCCTGTAATCCCAGCACTTTGCAAGGCTGAGGCGGGAGAATAGCTTGAGTTCAGGAGTTTGAGACCAACCAAGGCAACACAGGTAGACCCCATTTGTACAAAAAATAAAAATTAAAAAGTTAGCAGGGCATGGTGGTGTGCCTGTAGTCCCAGCTGCTTGGGAGGCTAAGGCAGAAAGATCGCCGGAGCCCAGGAGTGCAAGAATGCAGTGAGCTATGGTCGCAGTACTACATTTCAGCCTGGGCAACACAGCAAGACCTGTGAAAGAAGACAGAAGAGAAAAGAGAGAGAGAGAGAAAGAGAGAGAGGGGAAGGAAGGAAGGAAAGAAGGAAGGAGAAAGAAAGGGAAAGGGAGAAAGAAAGAAAAAGAGAAAGAAAGAAAGAAAGAAAGAAAGAAAGAAAGAAAGAAAGAAAGAAAGAAAGGTGGGAGGGAGGCAAGGAAGGAAGGAGAAAGGGAAAGAAAGGAATAAAGAAAGAAATAAAAGAAAGAAGGAACAAAGGAAGAAAAGAAAGAAAAGAAAAAGAGTTGGGAGGGAGGGAAGGAAGGAAGGAGAAAGAAAGGGAAAGAAAGGAATAAAGAAAGAAATAAAAGAAAGAAGGAAAGAAAGAAAGAAGAAAAGAAGGAAGGAAGGAAGGAAGGGAGGGAGGGAGGGAGGGAGGGAGGGAATCATGTCTCAGCTTGGCCACCCACTATCTGTATTACCTTGAGCAAGTTATTTAATGACCCTTAGACTCTGTGTGTGAATTAGGGGTGGCTGTACCTACCTTACAGGGTTTCTGTGTCAGTTAGATGAGATCTAAATGTAAAGCTCTCTGCACGTGTCTTCACTGTACCAGTGAAGACTTGTATTTGCCTTGTAGTTAATAGCAGCTGCAGTTGTAGTAATACATTCCTCTAGCTTTTTTTTTGCTTATGTGGATATATTTATCTTCATTATCTCTGGGTAACACACCTGTGGGGTGGGTCAGCCTCGGGTTCATATTCCCATTTGACAGATAAGGAACCTGCCATTCGGTGAGGCAAAATGTTTGGCTCAATGTCCCTGACCTTGGTTAAGTGGAAGATCTGGGACCCACGTACGGTGCTGCTGGCTTCATACCACCATGCCCAGCCCACAAACACACTCCATTGTCCTGGTGCATGACAAGCTTTTTCTGCAGAGAGGGCTGAGCTTCCCCTGCCCCACAGGTGACAGCTGGAGTCCTTCTGCCAGCACCTGTCCCCAGACCAACTTCCCAGTTTGGAGAGTGGTTACCTGTTTGGGGGCAGGGGGTGTCTTACCTTATTTCAGATGCAGGGCCCACCTGCCCTGGGGGCTGTCAGTGGTTTCTAAGGCACTAGAAGGTGGCCACGGCTGTAAGGAGGGAGACACCCAGGATCCTCTCCCTTTGCAGCCAAGAGCTTTCAGAGACAGCAGTGACCTTCCTCCTATATGCCTGCTGCTGAGAGCCTCCAAGCGGGTCAAACTCCAAACTCCAGCCTCAGCTGTGGCAGGGATTAAAGGAAGCGTGAATGATCTCCCCAGGGGCAGAAGAGAGACCGGGCCCAGCCCAGGACCCTTGAACTCTGAGCAGGTGGGGAAGGTGACATTCCCCATGCTTTGCCCACACTGTCCTCCACCAGGGCCCTCACCTGGGGGGACCCATGGCATGGAGGGGTTGGGGAGATGCTGGAGCCCAAGGCACCATCCTGCTTCACTCACCCACTCTTCCACTGTCCCGCCTCCATGCTGGGGACAGGCAGGCTTGGGACGAGCTGGAGGAAGGCGGGGGGAGGAAAAATGCTGGCGGGGGATGGAGGGGACAGAGGCAAAGTGCCAGGAGGGACGTCCAGTCACAGCCCTCACCGCAGTGGCAGCAACAGGAACAGCAACCACTGCTTGTGCCCCTTTCCATACACTCCCCAGACGTAGGCACGGCAAAGAACAGGTGTCTGCCTGAGGTCGGGAGTTCAAGACCAGCCTGACAAGCATGGAGAAACCCCATCTCTACTAAAAATACAAAATTAGCCAGGTGTGGTGGTACATGCCTGTGATCTCAGCTACTCGGGAGGCTGAGATAGGAGAATCACTTGAACCTGGGAGGAGAGGTTGCGGTGAGCTGAGATTGCGCTATTGCACTCCAGCCTGGGCAATAAGAGTGAAACTCTGTCTCAAAACAAACAAAAGAAAAAAAAAAAAAGAGAGAGAAGAAGGAGTGTCTGGGGTGCTAAAAAACTGTCAGGAGTGACTGAGCCATGGCCAGGAGCCCGCATCAGGCCCAGGACATCAGGAAAGCCAGCAGGGCACAGCGAAGGTTCTGCTGGATGCTCAAAGCATCCAAAACTTTCTTTTTTTTTTTCTGAGACAGGATCTCACTCTGTCATCCAGGCTGGAGTGCAGTGGTGCGATCACAGCTTGCTGCAGGCTCAAACTCCTGGGCTCAAGTGATCCTCCCACCTCAGCCTCCCGAGTAGCTGGGACTACAGGTATGCACTACCACGCCCAGCTAATTTTTTCTTTTTTTTTTTTTTTGGTAGAGACAGAATCTTGCTATGTTGCCTAGGTTGGTTTCCAACTCCTGGGTTTAAGTGATCCTCCCACCTTGGCCTCCCAAAGTGCTGGGATTACGGGGTCAACCACTGTGCCTGGCCAAATACCAAAACATTTTAAAAATAGGTACTAGTATTTGCAAACCAAGAGGCTTGAAACATAATTCTAGAATGCTCACTTTTCTAGAACAACCTGAAGATCTGGCCTCTCTAGGCCCCCATGGCCACAGGACAGCTGGGGAGGAGTTGTGGCCACCCCCTCTCACTCCTTCACTGGGCCTGCCAGGCTCTGGGGGTCCTTAGCTGAGGCCCCTGTCCTGGCACTGGGTAGCCAGAAATAATAGCAGTGGTGAACATGTGCCAGGCTCTGTTCTAAGTGCGCGACATGCCTTTACTCACTCGGGCTTTCTAACAACCCTTGAAGACGGGTGCTGTTATCTCTGTCTTACTGATGAGCAAACAGAGGTAGAGGAGGTGAGTCACTGGCCCAAGGTCACCCCGCTTGTAAGTGACACAGCAGGATTTCAGCCCAGGCCACTTGGCCTTAGAGTCGTACAGGAGCAGTGGAGAGTGGCTTGGCCGGATAAAGGGTGGCCTGGGTGAGCAAACACTGGGTGACTGACCAACACCAGTATGAACGGGGCCTTTGGGGGAGGGACCTGCCCTGGGGGACAGATTTACAGAAAGAACAGCTGGGATTGGAGAACAGGGCCAGACAGAAGGCCACAGATCTGCGATCTGCAGCAGGGGCCACAGCACTGGGAAGGGCAGTGGGGTGCCACTGAGGGTGCGCTGCTTCGCCAACCTGGGGTCCAGTCCTGACTTCTCGGGAATGTCTGGGGAAACTTAGCCATGTGCAGGGTGTCTACAGAAGAGGCGTGGCAGTGAGTGAAGCCGGGCAGGTGGAACTGTGGCTGACCCGAGAGCATGTGTTCCAGCTGAAGTGGGCAGCCACAACCCAGCTCCACCTGGGGGAAGACAGGCCCAATAGGGTCAGAACTTCTGATTGTTCTAGAGAAGTTCTGCCAAGTTTCATGATTATGCATCCATGAGGGCCAAATGTGGCCCACTCAACCCTCGGCTTGTCACCTCTGATGGTTTCTCTGATTGTCAGGTTTTTCAGTTTTTACCCTCAGTGCTATAAAGAATAGGATAGGTGGAGTGCAGGGGCTCATGCTATCATCTCAGTGCTTTGGAAGCTGAGGCAGGAGGATCTCTTGGGGCCAGGAGTTAGAGACTAGTCTGGGCAACATAGTGAGACCCGCATCTCTATACAAAATAGGAAGAATTAGATGGACATGGTAGTGTGCACCTGTAGTCCCAGCTACTCAGGAGACTGAGGTGGGAGAATCATTTGAACCCAGGAGTTCAAGGCTGCAGTGAGCCATGATAGTGCCACTACACTCCAGGCAACAGAGTGAGATCTCAACTAAAAAAAAAAAAAAAAAAAGAACTATATAACCACTTTAGAGAACTATTTGGACATTTCTTATAAAGTTATCATACACATTACTGGGGACAGTGGCTCATGCCTGTAATCCCAGCACTTTGGGAGGCCAAAGTGGACGGATCACAAGGTCAGGAGTTCGAGACCAGCCCAGCTAATATGGTGAAACCCCGTCGCTACTAAAAATACAAAAATTAGCTGGGTGTTGTGGCGGGCACCTGTAATCCCAGCTACTCGGGAGGCTGAGGCAGGAGAATCATTTGAATCTGGGAGGCGGATGGAGGTTGCAGTGAGCCGAGACCGCGCCATTGCATTCCAGCCTGGGTGACAAGGTGAAACTCCATCTATAAAATAAAATAAAATAAAATAAAATAAAATAAAATAAAATAAAATAAAATAAAATAAAGTTACCATACACCTCCCCCATGACCCAGCAATTTCACTCTTAGATATTTATCAAGAGAAATGGAGACATAAGTTCCCAAAAAGGTGTGTACACAAGTGTTCATGGTGGCCTTATTCAAAACAGTTTCTAAGTGGAAGATACCAATTCCATTCGACAGGTGAGTGGAAAACAAACTGCTGGTGCCTCTAACACTGCGGAAAGAAGTTTCCTTCGAAGGAATGAACTGCAACCACGCAACACCACGGGATGGATTGAGGCTCGAAGAAACATTACACTGAGCAAAAGGAGCTGACCTGGGCTGGGCACGGTGGTCACACCTGTGATCCCAGCACTTTGGGAGACCAAGGTGGGTGGATCACCTGAGGCCAGAAGTTGAGACCAGCCACAGCCCAATGTTGTAAAACCCCATCTCTACTAAAAATATAAGGGAATTAAATTAGCCTGGTGTGGTGGTGTGCACCTGTAGTCCCAGTTACTCGTGAGGCTGGAACAGGAGAATCACTTGAACCCAGCAGGTAGAGGCTGCCGGCAAGCCAGAATCACGCCACTGCACTCCAGCCTGGGTGAGACACAGCAAAACTCCATCTCAAAAAAAAAAAAAAGAAAAGAAAGAAAGAAAAAAGGAGCTGACGTGAAAAAGAGTACAGACCTTATGAGGATTCCATTTATGTGAGTTAAGAACAGGAAAGATGCATTTGTGATGACAGAAGTCAAAGAGCAGGACCCAGTGAACAACTGGAAGAGAGGATGGGGTGCGCTCTCAGAGATGATGAAATGTCTATTATCTTGAATTGGGTAGTACCAATTATATGGTATATACAATTGGTAAAACCCAGTGAATTGAAGGATTAACACTGAAATGCATTTTTTTTTTTTTTTTTAAGCAAGTTCACTCTATCACAGGATGGAGTGCAATGCTCATCTCAGCTCTGCAACCTCTGTCTTCTGGGTTCAAGCGATTCTCCTGCCTCCCCCTCCCAAAGTGCTGGGATTACAGGCGTAAGCCACTGCACCAGCCAGCTCATGCATTTATTGTGTCAAGTATACCTTTAAAAATGACAGCAGATGGCTGGGTATGGTAAAAGCTTATGCCTGTAATCCTAGCACAGGCTGAGACGGGCAGATCATGAGGTCAAGAGATCGAGACAATCCTGGCCAACATGGTGAAACCCCATCTCTACTAAAAATACAAAAATTAGCTGGGCGTGGTGGGGTATACCTGTAGTCCCAGCTATTCGGGAGGCTTGAAGCAGGAGAATCGATTGAACCCAGGGGGTGGAGGTTGCAGTGAGCTGAGGTCGCACTATTGCATTCTAGCCTGGGTGACAGAGCGAGACTCCATCTCAAAAAAAAAAAAAAAAGCAAAGCAAATACACAGACAGTGAATTCACAGAGCAAACACACCGAGCAAATACGGTTGCTGCGAGTCTTGTCTCCCAGATTTTAGTTCCAGCCTATTGTCACACGTAAACGTGGAGGCCTTATGTGCCAGCATTCCTTTTCAAGAGAAATCTCCAAAGTCTAGGTTTTTTTTTTTTTTTTTAATGGGAACTCTGATGACTTGTAAGGTTTGGCAAATTCAAAAGCAACAAAAATAGTTAAAATACGGGGTGTGTCAAATGATGCACGGGGCTCTGTTTGGAACCTGTATTCTTGGGTGGCATGTTCTCCTAGTGGGCTCAAGATGTGATTTCTTCCTGGATTTTCTACAGACTTTTAATAGCACACTTTTCCTACCCACGCCCTAACAACCCAAATGTTGTTATTTGTTGCAAGAACTGAACAGAGCAAACCCTCAAAGCTGAAATAGATAAGCTTTCCTAGGCAACATGCAAGCCTGGGAGAAGGAGTCCTGTTGAACAAGATACATTTGTTGACGTAACCGTGAGCCCTTGGGCAGGTCTCTCTCAGCCTCTCTGAGCAGTCAGTTTTCCTCCTAGCTCTCCCAAAACGGTGCAATCCTAAATTAACCATGAGCTGCCTACCTGGCATTTAGTTGACACTGAGCATTTCAAGGCTTATTCTTTCTCTTAATTAATGACCCAAGAGGAAAACTAAACTGTTCTTACCTCTGTCTCTCCTCTCTCTCTCTCTCTGGTTTTGTTTCTATCTCCCAAAGTCAAGTTCTCACAAACATGGCTTGCCTCATCCACAGTAGCTGCAGGAGAGATGGGGCTGGGCATGGTGGCTGACACCTGTAATCCCAGCATTTTGGGAGGCCAAGGTGGGCAGATCGCTTGGTCCCAGGAGTTTGAAACCAGCCTAGGCATCATGGTGAAACCTTGTCTCTACAAAATTAAGAAAAAAAAAAAAAAAAAAAAGCTGGGTGTGGTTGTGTCCTGTAGTCCCAGCTACAGGAGGCTGAGGTGGGAGGATCACTTGAACCCAGGAGGTCGAGGCTCCTCCTCCTCCTCCTCCCCCTCCTCCTCCTTCTCCCTCTCCCTTCTTGTCCCGCCTCCTCCTCCCCCTCCTTCTCCTCCCCTCCTCTTCCCTCCCTCCCTCCTTCCCCCTCCTCCTCCCCTCCTCCTCCCCTTCCTCTTCCTCTCCTCCTCCTCCC